AACTTTGCACTTGTGGAAAGGAGTCATCTTTTCAGTAAATATTCTTTGATCCACACTTTACCAGTTGGTCAAAATGGCCATTACCCTTTTCTACATTGTGTATCATAATTTTTTGTAAATGTGAAGTCTACTATCTATGAAGCAGGTCTGACTGGCTCCAAATTCACTGTACTGATTGTGACCACACAATCAGATGTGTCTCCATTCCCAGAGCTGATATGAACTCAGTATTTCAACAGATAAGGCATCCTCTAAAGCAGAGAGCCAAGCTACAGAAATATGTTGGAAGAATTGTAGTGGGTAGCTGTTCTATCTATGACCTTGAAGCACTGCCCCTAGAGATGCAACATGTAACTGCTCCACCTGCCTATGAACTTGAAGTACATGCTCGTAGGGTGTGGCCTCACAGACCCTAAAGACCTGAGATTCACTAGGCATCACTTTCTTTGCTCCATCATGGGACTTGGGTGTAGGACTGATCCAGGCAGCCAGAACAGCGTTCTAGAACTTGTATAAATTCTGTTCTGTTCTGTATAGTGAGTTTTTGCCCTTAATAAGTCCTTTGCCCTTTAAACAGACTCTGCAGATTTCTCTTTATAGGTGGTGCCCCCACGTTGTAGGCCATCCACAGCCTTTATCCATGCAGATAAGCTTCCATATGAAATAGCCTCCTACCCCTGCCAGCTCAGATCCTCCCCACAGACTCTGTGAGCAGCCCGGGCAATCTGCTGCGTACTAGCAGCAGCTCAGATTCCATCCTTGTAGACCAAATATCCCTGCTTTCAAGCCTTTTGCCACTGCCACCAGGTCCCTAACTGGACCGTTCCTCCTGAACCAGGTCTCAGGTAGCAGCATAGATGCCATTGTCCCATCACTACTGCCTTGTACTGCAACCACAGCTGCTGGGGAGGGAGAACGGTGCAAGTGAGAGAGTGACCAAGTGAGCACGCCTTCGCAGCAGCCCTACCCCCTTAGGCAGCACCTCTGGTCTGCTTCACTGCCCCTTGGTACCCTCCTGCAACTGTCCTACTGTCCTACCACTGGCACTGAATCCCTGCCCATGACCACTGCCACCATCCTACATGTAGCACACGTGTGCAACCAGCCCCATAGCATCTCCAATCAGACAGGCAACTCCTGACAGGTGCACATGCTTGAGCACTTCCAGCCCATTGGTGTATTCCCTTATTGGTATATATAATCTGTTGTGGTCCCAGCAACCCTACCTAGTACTCAGGGGTTT